GCGCGCGGGAAGGGCGAGGCCGGCCGGGGAGGGAGCCCGGGTGGGAGGACGGCCTGGCGTTGGGTTTGAGGGGAGTGTCGGGAGGGCTTCTCAGAGGAGGTTGCCTATATGGTAGGGCCTCAGATTAACCTGTCCAGCGGGGCGGCAAGGGGCGGTCTGAAGGCAGGTGTGTTCCAGGCCATGGAGCAGGTGCGTAGGTGTGCAGGAGACACGGCCGAGTCTGAAGCTCAGTCTGGCTGGAGGAGAGGGAAGACTAGGAGTGCTGGGGTGGAGGTTGGCAGGAACAGGTGATGATGAGAAACCGATGTTTGTCTGTGGCCACAGGGAACCTTGAGGAGTTTACACCCGGGAAACTGTTCTGAGCCAGGCCCTGGGTGATGGGTACAGAGACGAGGCTAAAACTTAGCTCCTTTCTTCCAGGGGCGCCCAGAAGGGTGAGTGGATGCCAGACATTAAATAATGAGTTCAGCTTCAGGTTCTTTACTTGTGTCTGTTCTCTGTCTCCTCTCCGAGACTGGTAGCTTTGGGAGGCCAGTGACCCTACGTGTCCCGGGCAGGCGTGCTGTCCTCCTCAGCGTGGTGGCTACATCACAGTCGACACCCAAGCAGTGTTTGTTGATGGGCGAATAGATGGAGCGAAATATGACACTAGTACACATTTCATTATATCTGGGATAATGGAAATCCTGGCCAGGAGAGTCTGAAGACTCATTACCCAAATAATAAGCAAGATGTTCAAGCGTGAACTAGGAGGAAAGACAAGTGGAGTCATTGCTAGGCCCCACGGGAGTATGGGTGGAGTCAGGAGGGCCAGGCAGGGAGGTAATACTGACTTCAGCTGTGGGGCCAGTGCACTGGGGTTAACCTTCATGTTGCAACAAAGGTGAGATAGTTACATGAAGCAAAGTGTCCTACACCTATTTGCTCATTTGTCTTTCCTTCTCTGACTATCTGTGGGCATTGGTGACCTCTAATAGATAGAGGTAGGTGAGGCTCTGGTTCCCCTGGTCCAGGTTTGGTCTCCAGAAGCATCCCTAGGGAGCTTATTAGAAATGCAGAATCTGGGATGGGGGTGGGGGGGTGTAGCTCAGCAGGAGAGCACATGCTTAGCATGCAGGAGGTCCTCAGTTCAATCCCTACTACCTCCATTAAAATAAATAATTAAAAAAGAATAAAGAACTATAGAAATGCTGAATCTCAGGCCCAAAGTTTAAAGTTTTGTGATGAATGTCATCTGTTTCTATCTAGTCTTTGTGCCCTTGAGGATGTGTGCAGAACCTCAATTTGAAGCTCACGTTCTAGTGGGGAAGGGTGGAACTAGAAAGCTGATAAATTAGAAAACAGAAATGTTAAGTGTGGGAAGTCGTGGAAGGGGGAGAAACATGGCAATGTGATAGAGTCATGCTGGATACGAGGAGGGGGTATGTGTGCTCCTTGGAATTGATGGATCCTCTGTTTCTAAGGAGCTAATAATTTGAGATGAGACAGGAATGATGATTGGTTCCAAGCAGGAAGAGAGGGACGTTCTTTATTCTGGGGGAGAACAGCATGTGCCAGGGCCCTGGGGTGGGGATGAGCTTAGCGTGTCTGAGGACGAGAAAGGAAGCCCCAGTCGCTGGGAGGTGGTGGGTCAGGTGGGTAATAAAGGGAGTGATGCTGGAGGGGGCAGCTCATGCAGGCTGTGCAGGCTGAGCAAAGAATGCTGACGAAATCCTCCGTAAATTGGGAAGCTGTGAAAGGGTGGTAAGCAAGGGAGCGTTGGACCCTTGTTTATAACCCCTGACGACTATTTTTGCTATGCTATGCTGTCCCATGTTATGCTCTACTATATAAACTGTACTGTGAGTCAGGGCCCACAGTGATAGTGCCCCTGACACATGCGACACGGGTGAGTCTCAGCTCCATCCTGCTACGTGAAAGAAGCTAGACTCAGAGTTGCTGTGCTCTGTGATTCCATTGAGCTGACATCCTGGAAAAGGCAGAACTAATTCTAGGGATGGAGAGCAGGTCAGTAATTTCCAGGGTCCGGGGGTGGGGGGAGGTGTTGACTACAGAGCGGCACAAGGGGGATTTTAGAGGTGATTAAACTGCTCGGTATCTTGATTTTGGTGGTAGTTACACGACTATTTGTGTTAGTCGAAGCTCACAGAGCCGCACACAGAAAGGGCTGACTTTACTGTATGTAAATTACTTCACAGAAAGAGAAATAACACTAATAATAACAACAGCAGAGATGGCACTTGGCTCGTGGAGTGTATTCAGCCGCATTCAGTCGATGTGAAAGAGCGTCTACGACGTTCCAGGCCCTCGTGAGGCACGGAGGTTGCAACAGACAGAATCCACGGGGCTTTCGTGCAGACAGATGTTAGACAAACAGCAGAGACAATGAGGTCATTTCTGAGAAAGATACGTTTTGTAAGAAAGTTAAACAGGGCAATGTGGTTAGAAAGTGACTAGAGAGGGTGACTGATGTGGGCTCTACCTGGGAAGGTCTACACCCCAGGCGCCATCCTAAGGGCATTACCAATGAGAACTCACTTCAGCGTGGAACAACCCTCTGAGGTAAATGCTATCACCCCCTATTCTAAATGGAGAAACTGGAGCGCAAAGAGTTCAGTATTCTGTCCAAGATTTCACAAAGCTAGGACGTCGTGAAACTGGGCACTGAACTCGGGCATCTCGTTGGAGACCACTCTCCTATCTGCCACCGTGAATAAGGTATATTGATGTAGCACAGAGTGAACGCTAAATAAATGGCCATTGTTGCTGCTGCTATTACAGATCTTCACTACGATGCACCTTCTTTTATATTTTTCTCCAGGGCCCAAAGCGGATGTCGGATGCTCAAGTGCAAACAGACCCCGTCTCCATCGGACCAGTTGGCAAATCCAAGTAAACAAATCACCACGGTTCCCACCAAGTTCCGCCACCAAGATGCCTTCTCCCTACTCCACCTCCTCCCCGGCCCCACTCCATGTACATAGTTTTTCTTCTGACGGCCATCCAATGAAATTCTGCCTACAAATTAAGCCTGAGCTGTTGTATATTGAGGTGTATAATTTACGTCTCTGGTCCAGTCTTTTCTTGGTACATAACTGTAAAGATGGTTTAGCAGGTCAGAAGAGTTGGCGGTTGCCAAGCAGGTTTTGGGGAAGAGGGCGGAGGAAGGCATTCTGGTAAAGTTATGAAAAATGACAGTGACAAGCAAGTTGCAGAAGGAAAATGCCTGCTGGAAGGAATTAAGCCTTGTAGTAAATCCGTGCTCATCCTCGGAGCTTCAAGAGGAGAGACGAAAACCCCGTTTGTTTAAGTTCATGTTTAAAGGAGGGAGGACGTGGGCTCTGGGTTGGGAGGTTGCCAATTTCCTGGAACGGAATATGTGGGGAACAAGAAAGGAATGAATAAGAGCTGTTTTTCAGATAGGGTCCTTGAACGTTACTGACGAGAGGGAAGAGGGAGACTGGAGAGGACTTGAAATTATTTGGGAAAACAACTGCTTTTTTGAGGCTCAGTGACAAGGGCGAGGATTACAACTTCAAAAAAACAAAACAAAACAAATGAAGTGGCGAGTTTACTTTGCAACACTAGGGGGCGCCGCGGTCTCCATTTTTAATCCTGCATCCTGTATCCCTAACAAAGATTTGGTCTCTGCAATCTTACATTATTAATGTTTCTCAGATGGCGGAGGGGCTTGCTTCATCTGTTCTGTCTGACACTTATCTCAAGTCTGTCTGTAATTTCCTAATGTTCTCAGGATGTGCTCTGATAAAACCCTCCCCGTAACCCCAGTTAATAATAAAAATTTACAGAAGATTATTCAAATACCTGAATTTTTTGTTTTAATACTTGTACAGAGGAATAAATAGGACCATGAGTCGATTCAAATGTAATTCAGAGTAGCCATCTGATTGACTGATATCCTGTATACTGTATCTTTCTTTTTGGTTTAATAAAAAAAATACACTTACATCTAAAGGATCTTTTAATTTTCAACTTTTAAAGCAGGTCTCTCGTATTCTGTCTGAGATGCCTTCATTGTCCACAGCGTAAAATCAGTGCTCTCCCACCATCTTGTCTTCTTTCCCAGATCCTCCTAGATTTCCTTGTAGAACATGCACATACAAATGTGTGCACAAGGATATTTGCATATATGCACATGTGCACATAGATATAAATCCTGCCCGAGGCTGTGCTGCCTCGGGCAGAGCCTGAGACAGGGATTCAGATGCACATGATCTTCTGAAGGCGGGCTCCCGGGTAGAGGGAGGAAGAGACGGGCAGGGCAGGAATTGGTCTCAGCTGGAGTCAAGTTTCCATCCTGATCTCCCTAGGGGGCCCTAGAGCATGAACTGCACCATAAAGTTGGTTCTATGTATGGGCAAGGGGGCCAGCCCTTTGTACCCTTGTTGGTGAGTCGTGGGCCACCCTGGGAGGGGCTGGGACAGGCAAGCTGCTCCCACTGAGCTGAGAAGCTGGGATCCCTTAACAGCTAGAAGTTGAGGGCATCAGCAGGGTCCACCACAGGTACACACATACACATCCAGACTTGGATTTATAGCCACCGTGCACACGTTCATACTTACAAACATAGACTGACTTATATTCAGGACTAGATCAATGCATGCACACGTTCATATTCATACACATACAAATAGATATGTGTAGCTGACCCGCACGCACACACTGGCTCGTGCAAATCCATCACACATACAGTCCATCACAGTGATTAGAACTAAAATTGACCTCCCTCTCCTGACAAGTCTGTCCCTTAGGTAAATCAAACCAGGGCTTGGGCAAAAAGGCCCTTGGAAAATGTGTTGGGGACAAAAATGGTATCTCTAAAAAACAGACTTGGGGGGCCCTTTGCTCCTGAGTCTCATAGCTCCCAGTTTGCACTGGCTGAATGCTGAGTTCCAAATAGAGACCAGAGACCTTTTCCTTGCAGCTGGGTTAGTATCTTCAGACCTCCTGTCCAAACCTGGAGATTCCTCAGTGTCCGTGACTCACCCAGTTGAGAACGACCGCATGCTGCTTCATGTCTGAGTGCTTAATTGGGCTCAAATCAGGAAAAAAAAACCCTTTGGGGAAGCCTTTGGCTGGGGGTGACTTTCCCTCCACCGGTACCATCATAGAACATGGGATGATTCAAGGAAACCAGGCAGCTGGTTACTTTGTCTCTAAGCACCAGGGGGGTTGCCTAGTATGGCCTTTGAGCTCCCAGGCATACCAGTCTAGTGAGAAAGGTGACAGTGTTATTTGCAAGTTTCACCTCACTGGACACAGGGGCTTTTTGCCCTGATGAGAAATGTCCCCAGGGCAGGACTGAGTCACTAACACAGAAGGAGCCCTCTCGTCCACTACCGCCCCGGAAAATTTTTTTTTTAAATTTTTCAAAAGAAGTTCTCTGCTGAGAATCTTGCTGCAAAGCATGCCAACAGTTTCTGTAACTGGTTTCCTATCCTCTTGGCCAAAAGAGAGCAACCTTTAAAAAAAAAAATTGTTTTTTTAAGGCAAGAACATTTTAGCCAGAAAAAAAACTCAAAAATGGCTTGTTAGGAGGATTCTAAAGCCAGCTGTGGCTTAAGCAGCGAGTTAAAACTGTGTTTCTGAGTTTTGTGAGGTTGGTTTGTTTTGGGGTGGAGCGCTGCTTCCTGATGCGTTTACAGTAAATACTAACATCCATGCCTTCTGCTGAGCTAGTGTGAAAAGAACAAATGCTCCTCCCCCGAAGTGGGCCCAGGAGAGCTCTTGGGACGCGAATTCACAGTGGGACTGAAGTTCCCCAAGATGCGGAGCCCAGGAATGCCATCTGAGTAGCAAAGGTGCACACAGTGCAGTCTTAAGAACGGCCTGAAACTGAAAGAGAAATTAAAACCTGCAGGAGGGGGCAAAGGTACTTTTTTTAAATTGACATACTCATTCACTTATTTACTTATTTATTTTTAGGTGCAGAGGGAAGAGCGTCTTCTCCAGTGTCAAGACGACGTGCCTTTCCAAGCGCTGGGCTATTGAGCTGAAATGACTGCCACTGGGGGGAGAAAAACAAAAGCAAAAAAACCTCTGCTTTCCAGTCCCTGCCAAAGGTGACTTTTGGACTGAGATCCAGAAAAGAATTCATTCAAAAGCACAGCAGCCCTGAGGTCCCTCAGGAAGTCATCATCTTGGGGAAGGGGGCACATACCACGCATAGAAGTGCCCAAAGGGAAGGAAAAGAAAGAGTGAGGTTCTGTTGTACCCCCTGCTCTTTAAACAGATTATCGGGGCTTTAAACACACACACAGACTCTCCAGCAGGACTGCATTTGTTTGTTTGCAAACAGTCCAGATGCACTGGGGTCCCCTTAAATTAGATTCCAAGAGACTAGGATCTGTGTCCTGCTAAGCTGGGTCTTCTCCAAATGCCTGGAAGGGAGCAGACCTGACCAGTCTCATTTCTTGTGTCAAACAGTCCCAAGTTGATCTTAAGCCTAAACAAAATAAAATCAGCTAGACTCCCTACCCTTAGGACTTCCAGGAGAAGGAAGGGAAAATGATTTCAATTATTAACTCGCCCAAGTTGCAAACGCAGGGAATGCATTTTGCAGAAATGTACGCTTAACTCTCCTCCCAATGTCCCTTTTTCAGCCTTTTAAAAAGGCAGTTCGCACGGGGAGTAGAATTAGGCTCCTCTGTGGTCTAGGTCTTGTTCACTCTGTCGGGGGAAACAGAAGTGGCACCAGCCCACTGGAAATTACCGGCTCCATTAGGAAGAAAAGAAATTACTTACAGAGCAGCAAATTCTGTAAATTTGTAATTCAGATCTCCAGCGCTGGCCTGAATGCCAGTCAGGATCCAGCCCTTTGCATAAATTGGTTTTCTGGGGAGCTTAACCCTTTCGCTGCTGTTTCCTTTCCCCAGAAAGCTACTCCCTGGCGCCTCTCCATCCCCTGGCCCTTTAATGAGCCGTGCACGGGCCACGCATGCGATTTCACAGACTTAAGGGTGGTAATAATAATGCCTTCCATGATCACACTCTACAGTCTACAGGATGCTCTGTGAATACACTACCTAATGTAAAGCTGTATGCCCCCACCTGAACTTAATTACCTCCTTTGTTACCTTTTATTATGAGGGGGCTGGTGTGGCTTTTTTCCCCTCCCCCAAAGGCACATTTCTTGACAAAATGGCCCCCAGCTGCAATTCTGGCAATGATTGCTCATTGCCCACGTGATTGATTCTCAACTGAAGGACATTTTCATTTCAATCTGGCCACGTGGGGGCGTTCCAGGACCGGGGGTCCCGCAGTCCCTGGCCGGGCCCTTTTCCCTGACTGCCTAACCAGGAGGTTGAGCTGAGGCAACTCTTACGAATGTGTTTGTTGATGAACTTCCAGAAAGCGGTCAAGTTTAATGAAGAGAACTAAAGCCAAGAGGGCCAGACCGGTGAGTCAACTGCCTTCTGTGATTCCCAGGCCCCCAGACAAAGATAACGTTGCTTGTTTGCATGGTTTTTCCATTCTTATCAGCTCAGTTTTGCAAGAAGCGTAAGGAAGGATGGTGTGACTGCAAACCATTTAAGTTGGTGTCATTGCCAAGCATGTAAGTCACCCTCACCAGCCTCTCATGGTCCGCAAAGCAGCTTTAACCTCTCCCGTCTCCGCAGCCAACCAGAGGAGGGGACAAGCGACTTAACCTGCCAGTTTCCTCCCTAAAGAACAGGGCAGTAGCAGGGCTTACTTGGTGGAGTTGCTGTAAGCGTGGAGTGAGATGGAACATGCCAGACACTTCGTGTGGTGGCTGGTGCATAACATACAGTAAGGGAGAGTTATTGCAGCAAAGGGAATTTTAGCTCCAAGTAATGGAAAAACTCCTCCTCAAATTGGCTAATACCAATAATGACAATGGTGCGGGTATTTATCATTTCATGTGACAGGTGTTCTGTCACAGCCTGGCTCTGACTCTCTGGGACTCTGCCATGTTACGGGAGTTGACTTCATCCTAAAACCAGTGCCGAATGCTGGCCACGGTGCTGGACAAGGGGCTAGTGGGATGACCACAGTCAGTTTTGATTTATCGTTTTGCTGAAATCGATATTGAGAAGGCAACTATGGTGATGCACTCAATTGCAAAGTAGTTATGAGTATCAGTATGTTTACAGTTCGCCATCCCCCAAACCAGCCATGCCCCTGCGATTCAAACTGATGGGACTTGAGCAACTAAGATGTCTGCCCTACAAAGCAGGGTCGTTAGACTGTGAGCTCGTCAACATGAGGGACCGTCTTGTTCCGGACACTGCTCTGTCATCAATGCCAGGGCTTAAGAGATACTCAATCAGTAGCAGTTGAATGGATACATTGATAGGTAAATATTCTATGCTTACATCCATTGGGAAGTGGATTGCCTTATGCTCCAGTATGAGTTTAAGTCCAAGTGTTTGATGACTATAATCAGATGTCCACCCTCCCCAGGTGCTCAGCCCAGAGGTTCTCATAGTGTGGTCCCACTACACCTGGGAACTAATTAGAAATGCAAATTCTCAAGCTCCAATCCAGACCCATTAGATCAAAACCTCTAGGGGTGGAGCCCAGCAATTGTGCAAGCCCTCCAGAGGGTTCTGATGCAGAAAGAAAAAACTGAAAATCACTGGTCTAGGTAGAGTAATTAATTTACTGAGCATCCACTAAAAAAGACCAGCCCTGAAGATGCACAGATAATAACAGCTAACATTGGACTTTACTATATGCCAGATATTGTGCTTCCCACGACGCCCTCCGTTTGCTGCCCATTTTGCAGATGAGGAAACCAAGGCTCAGAGAGGTGAAGCAACTTTGCCGGAGGACAACAC